GTCAAGCAAATCTTAGTCTTCAAGGAAGTATCTTTGCTTTTCAGCACTTTAAAGAGGTCCTTTGCAGCAGACTTGCCCAATGCTATATGACGTCTGATATCTTGACTGCTACTTCCATTGGTGTTGATTGTAGAACTAAGTAATATGAAGTCTTTGACAACTTCAATCTTTTTTCCACATATTGTGATGATGCTTATTGGTCCTGTTGTGATTTTTGTTTTCTTTATATTGAGGTGTAATCCATACTGCAGACTGTAGTCTTCAATCTTCATCAGTAAGTGTTTCAGGTCATCCTCACTTTCAGTGAGCAAAGTTGTGTCATCTGCATAACACATGTTGTTAATGAATCTTCCTCCAATCCTGATGCCACCTTCTCCATACACTTCAGCTTCTCTGATTATTTGTTCAGCATGTTGTTCTTGTTGTTGGGTGCCATCGAGTCATTGTTGACTCATAGCAACTCCATGCACAGCAGAACAAAACACTGCCCAGTCCTGTGCCAGCTCCGTGATCCTGCTATACTTGAGCCATCATAGCAGCCACTGTGCCAACTATTCAGCATACATATTGTTCAGCATACATACTGAATAAGTACGATGAAAGGATACAACCCTGATGTACTCCCTTCTTGATTTTAAACCATACAGTGTCCCCTTGTTCTGTTTGAACAACAGCCTCCTGGTCTATGTACAACTTCCTCATGAGCACAATTAAGTGTTCTGGAATTCCCATTCTTCTCAATGTTATCCATAATTTGTTATCCTTCACACAATCAAAAGCTTTTGCATAGTCAATAAAACACAAACATCTTTCTGGTATTCTTTGCTTTAAGCCAAGATCCATCTGACATTAGCAATGATATCCCTTGTTCCACAAGCATATCGATAGGTTATATTTTCTTATCCAGTTTGCAACTCTCTGTCTCTTGAGTGGTATATTTAATCCATTTACGTTAAGTGTAATTATTGACAAGTATGAATTTGTTGCTATCATTCTATTATGTGTTTTTTCGTGGTGTTGCTGATTTCTTTGTTCTATAGAATTTTCTGTGCTGAGCTCATTTTGTTTATGAAGCATGCTATCATTTCCTTTGTTGCTGTTGTTTTATTATTTGCTAAATATTTGTGCCTGTCCTCTTTTTTATTGTGATGCAAATGTTGATCATTTTTCTTTGAGGTTACCATTTGATTTATAATTTTCTCCTCGAGTTTAAAACAGTCCATTCTACCTTGCAATTGTCTTGACTTCCTCACTGTTTAGAAGCTGTGTAGTTGTCCTCATTTGCCAACTGAGGTCTCTGGTTCCTCGTTTACAATCTTGTTAGCTTATTTCACTTTGGTTACTTCCATTACTGGGTTGGTTTCTGGGTTATGTCATCATGTGTGTTAATGGTCAGCTGTTGTTTGCTGCTGTTGGTTCTGAAGAATCTGTCTTGTATTGATTCGATTCTATTCCTCTGCCCATTCAATATGTCATCTGAGAATTTAGTATTAATCTTCTGGATTTCTATCTGTATATTTTGTATCATTCCTAATTTTTCATTTATTTTGTCATTTTGTTCTTTTATTTTCTTCTGAAACTGTTCTAGGGTTTTGTCTGTGTTTTCCTTAATTTTGTCAGTGTTTTCCCTGATCTTTCTCTCAATCTGTTGATGGCACCAAAATAGAATTCTTCTGAATTCCTTATCAGGGAGTTATAATGCTGCTTCTTACTCAGGGATGTGTTCTGGGTCTGTATCCTGGCTCTTTGTTTCTACTGCTTTATCTTGCTTCTCTGTGTGGACTGTGATGGTCTGTTTATCTCTGAGACATTGATTGAGATGTTGTTGTATTTATATTTAATTGGTGATTGCATGTTGGAGTGATTTGCCCAAGATTTTAATTTTCTTGGATCTATCTGTGTAAGTAGGGTACTGTACTTCTCTATTCACTAGTTGGCAGCACTTATGCACTCACCATCTGTCTCCTGGTGGATGTGATAGAGAATGAGAATGGCTACACAGATCTCTGATAACTGTTTGTGAAGAGCAGTTAAGGGTGAGTCAGGCTTATATTGGCAGTTGTGTATCGTTGGCCAGTTGATGCAGAAGGATATAGTGGCCCTCACTCAGTAAGTGGAGCTGTAGGAGGGATGGGTGCGTTTGGGTCATGTGGGCACGGTTGCTGTCTCCCACTCAGACAAAAACAACTGAAAAACCACCAAAAGAGTAAAAGCAAGAGGACAAAAAACATACTGCATAACCACACAGAGTAATCACCAAAAAGAGAAA